AAAGATTTAATTTTTCTGTCACGATACATTTTTTCTCTTTTTAACTCACATGCGCAAACATTTACACAGCATACAAGCACAAAAACAAACGCGCAGAATCACGCACAAGTTTTTTTACACGCATAAACACCAACCACAAACGCACGTACATACACACATTCACTTAAACTAACTGCGTCACAGCAATATCATGGCTGCAATCACTCATATGCATAAAGGAAGGGCAAGGAAATAACAATAAAAACAGTGATGACGAGGAAGATAACGATGATGATGATCACCATCAGAGAATAAAAGTAATAATAATAGTAACAGTAACAATAACAATAAAATATTACTAAAATAATTAAATAATAACAATAATAATAATAACAATATCAATAATAATAATAGTAATAACAACAACAATAATGATAATAGTAATAATAATAATAATCATACCAACAATAATAACAATAACAATAACAACAACAAAACAACAATAATAATAATAATAATAATAATAACAATAATAATAATAATAACGCTAGCAAAAACTTTCAAGTCGCGTGCACTAGCAGCCTCATTAAACTCTGGTATTCAGTCACGTTTTGAGAGCGTGGGGAGAGGGGGGGAGAGGGGAGGGCAGTGAGAGGCACAAAGGGGGGGAGGGGTTAGTATAATATTAAACACAATAAAAAATGTGAGCGAGAACGGTCGTTTTCAACCGACGCAAAAGGCAAGAAAACAGTTTGACTAATATAGATACATAATAAATATCAGAAAGAAAGAAAGAAAGAGAGAGAGAGAGAGAGAGAGAGGGGGAGGGAGGGAGGGAGGGAGGGAGGGAGGGAGGGAGGGAGGGAGAGAGAGAGGCAAACAAACAGACAGACAACAAACACAGACAGACACAGAGACAAGATCAGATGCAGAGACAAGAGACATAGCGACAATATGAGTGACAGAGGGACGATGAGAGAGAAGAGACAGAGAAAAAAAGAAAAAGAGGAGACGAAAAACGAGAAAAGGGGAAAGGCGGCTTTACCTACGCAAATCATCCTCCCGGCTCCCCCCCCCCCCTTACACCGTCCCAAGCGTGAGTACAGCGGGCAATGACGTCACGCTGCGGTTGAGCACTGGATACGCCACAACCGGTTGCAACGACTTCGCCCCTTCCCCCTACGACACGACCTGCAGCACTTAATCCCGTGCATTCAATCCTGCAAACAACCCGAATCACGACGCCGCTGAACAACACCTACGACTTGTTCTGAACGACTTCTAGTGCTTGGTTCCCCCCCCCCCCCCCTCTCCTCTGCTCTCCCTTTCCCCTATAATCTCCACCCATCCTCTCCTCTCCCTTTTTCCCCTATATTCTGCCCCCCCTCCCCTCTCCTCTCCCTTTCCCCCTATATTCTTCCCCCCCTCCCCTCTCCTCTCCCTTTCCCCCTATATTCTCCGTCCCCCTATACTCCGCCATCCATGGAAGTCTTTCCTGGGAATTCAATCTTGCATTTCGTAGATCCATACACACCGCGCATTAAAATATTCCCCCTTTCCGCCCCCCCCCCCATCCCTCTTTCGTCCCTCTCCCCCACCCATCCCTCTCTCGTCCCTCTCCCCCACCCATCCCTCTCTCGTCCCTCTCCCCCCCTCCATCCCTCTCTCATCCCCCCCCCCTTCCCCTCCTCGAGACACAGCGGTATCGAAGCGGTAATTAATGCCGGGTCGTCTGTGTCACCTTGTTTGCCCAAGACGCCATTAAACACTCGAGACTCTCTCCAAGTCCCCCGTGATCTCGGGATTAAAGGTGACTCTGGGGCGACGCTACCGCCCTCTCACCTCCCCTCCCCCCAACATCCCCTTTCTTCCCCCCTCCCCCCCCAGCCCTCCCTCTTCACTCTCCTCCCAACTCTCCCCTCCCCCCTCCCCCTCCCTCATTCTCTGACGTCACCTTCACTTAACGCCCCTCTCACCCTCCCTCCTCAACCCCCCCCCTCCTCATCTCTACCTCTCCTCCTCTTCTCGCTTACACTCCCCCTCCCCTCTCCTTCCTTACACCCTCCCCCGACCCCAACACTTCCCCCCTCACCCCTGCCCCTACGCTCTCCTACCCCAACCCCTTCCCCCTAACCCTCCCCACCCCAACCCTCTCCCTTCCAACCCCCCTCCCACCTCCACCCATCCCCCCTCCCACTCCAGGCTTGGCACTCAAGGTTCACAACTGTCCGTCGGATTTCTACGAATGAATTCCCGTCGATAATCCTCACGTGTTAGTCTCTCTGTTATCTCTATATCTATCAATCCCTTCCGTGTTGATAAGCCGGAAGTGATTCTAGTAAATTCATGACCTATAACCGCCTGGATATATTCCATCCATATTCACCACACGCAAGACACTACAAAATCATGCACACTTATGAGACACAGGCTCACGCAATTAAACTCAGAGGCAGACAAAACAATAAATACACACACACATATATATATATATATGTATATATATACACAGACAGATATGTGTGTGTGTGTGTGTGTGTGTGTGTGTGTGTGTGTGTGTGTGTGTGCGCGTGTGCGTGTGCGTGTGCGTGCGTGTGCGTGTGCGTGTGAGGGTGCGTGTGTGTGTCTGCATATATACATATATACATACACACATACATACATTTACACACATATATATGAAATGACCTTCGTCCTTGACCCTTGGATGTAATTTAAGACGAATCACATTATAGAACAAAGAAAAAAAATCACTAAAGTCTTTTGATAATGATTCCACCGGCTTCTTTTTTTTCCTTTCATTTCACATCACGAAGGAGGAAGCTTTAGGTCTCAACAAAAACAAAAAAACAAAAGAGAAACCTGAAGAAAGATGATGACAGGGAGACGCGAGGGGGAAGAGGGGAAAGAGGGGGAGGGGGTTGGGGGGAGGGGCGGTTAGCAACATGATAAAATAAATAGATTTAATACATGACCAAATGTATACTTACGCTTTACATCTTAACCCTATGCGATAAAACAATTTTGTAATAAAATTTTAAAAACTTAAGACTTACGCTCTTAAAACATTATATAACAAATATTAGTCGTATTATAACAAACACACCAAAATGCAACAAAAACAAGAGAACTCATATTAATAAACAAACAAGACAGCAACGGAAAGCGCACTGTTTCACGACACGTAATAAAAGACAAGCACTTGAAAAAAAAACGTGAGCCAAGGGCCATTTATCTTCAGACCTCAAAGCAACAAGCAATTGACTTTCAGAGAGAAAAAAACAACAACAACAAAATACAGGCAGTGAAGATTGCGAGAATGAGCAGGAAGGAGGATAGGAGGAACGGAACAGATGGAAATTGCAGTCGGATTTGAGACATGTATACTTTCCCTTTCTCCCTTATTCGCTCTCTCTCTTTCTTCCTCTCATTCTTCATTTCTCTGTCTGTCTGTCTATCTATCTGACTGTCTGTCTGTCTGTCTGACTGTCTGTCTATCTGTCTGTCTGCCTGTCTCACTCTTACTCTTACTCTTACTCTTACACTCACTCACTCTCTCTCTCGCACGCTCTCTCTCTCTCTCTCTCTCTCTCTCTCTCTCTCTCTCTCTCTCTCTCTCTCTCTCACACACACACACACACACTCTCACACACACACACACACACACACACACACACACACACTCTCTCTCATACTCTCACTCTCACTCACTCTTACTCTCATTTTCATTCTCCCTCTCTTACTCTCACTAACTCTCACTTTCACTCTTTAATCTCGTCGCTTCAATCAACCGCAGTGACTAGGCCCGGGACCATGTAAATCAAGCCGTTGCAATTCATGCAGATAAGCAAGACGGCTCTCATTAGGAATGAATGTGGAGAAAAAAAAAACAACGAAAAGCACAACGAAACGAGAAGCAGAAGGAGGGAGACGAGCAAAGAAAGGAGAGGAAGCGAAAGGAAGACGTAGGATTTGGCGATATCTCCCTCACCCCCCTCTCTCCCTTACCCCATCCCCCTCTCCACGCCTTCCGATTGCCGAGGTCGCATTGGAGTTGACAGATGCAATCTCGCGGCCTGGAGTGCGGACCAAGGGTGATAACTGAGGTGGGAGAGAGAGAGAGAGAGAGGGAGAGAGAGAGAGAGAGAGAGAGAGAGAGAGAGAGAGAGAGAGAGAGAGAGAGAGAGAGAGAGAGAGAGAGAGAGAGAGAGAGAGAGAGAGAGTTAGTGAGTGAGTGAGTGAGTGAGTGAGGGAGTGAGTGAGAGTGAGAGTGAGAGGGGGGAGGAGGGAGGGAGGGAGGGAGGGAGGGAGGGAGGGAGGGAGGGAGAGAGAGAGAGAGAGAGAGAGAGAGAGAGAGAGAGAGAGAGAAAGCTCAAGTCAATGGGAAAGGCAACGAATAATGGAACAGAGAACGAAGAATTAGGAAACGTCGAGCGCCAGAGGGGAAAGGGGGGGAGGGGGGAGGGAGGGCTCACGAGAACGTCTTTGTCGGGGCTTACTCACACACACGTGACAGTGCCATCGCCCTCGGGCAGGAGAGCGGGGAAATAATGCAACATGCAATCCCTCCCGCATCATGCTGGGCGGGCGAGCCGGCGGAGCAAGCATCTGGGCTGGGAGATCTAAGCCTCCGAGGGAACCTGTGTTAGTTGAAGCGAGTGAACAAACAAGTGCCAGCTGGGAAGCGGGCGGTGCGGGGCGCCAAGCCGTGCATGCAGAGACGTGCTTGTGCCTGACGGACGCGTGTGTGCATGTCGCCGTCGTTAATGCGTGAGTGAAGTCAGCCATGCAGACCACCAGCCACCAAGCAGACCGCGGCGGAGGCAAGCGAATCATGCAGCGAGAGAGCCGCGGGCAGGAGGGGGCAGCAGGAGCCATCCGGACAAGCAGGCGGGGGCAGGCAGTGCATGACGTAGGGGTGGCTTGGACGTCGTCGCGGCCAGCAGCCAGGCGGAGGCGAGAGGAGGCGCTCCCGGAGGCCGTGGCCGCTGTCGCCGTCATCGCCGTCGTCGTCGTCTTACCGGTGACGGAGGAGGCGCTCTGCAGCTCCGTGTCGTCGAACTCCAGGTTGGGCTCGTAGTCGTGGTAGTCGCTGAGGCTCGGGTAAGGATCCTCGTTGTCCCCGTACGAGGCTGCGCGGGCGGGGCGGCGCCGAGGAGGAGAGAGCGGGCGGGCGTCGTGGAGAAAGGAAGGGCGGAGGCGGCGATGCGACCGTGGGCGGGAAAAGCGCACGGGCGAGCGAAGGGCGAAGGGGCGGCCGGACGGACGGACGCACGGGCGGCAGGTGAATTAAAAGGGGGGGAGAAAAAAATATACACGTTAGCACTACAAAGTCTGGACACCCATACACTACATCTACGCATACAGCTGATGTTGCTGCTGTTGGCCTTTACACATACACAGATTACTGAAGTGGTTAGTCGCTACAAACTACTTTTTACACCGTATATACACCCGAAAATAACACCAAAAACCACAAAACGCTTCCCCGAAAGACAACAAGAACTGCAACGAAACACAGAAAGACAAAAAAAAGGAGAAGAAGAAAAATGAGAAGGAGGAGGAGGAGAAGGAGAAGAAGAAAAAGGAGAAAGAATATTTAGAAAAGCAGAGGGGGGAGGAGGAGAAAAGAGAAAAAGAGGGTGTGTGTGGGAAAGTACGAAAGGAGGGAGAACAACCTGACATCGTATGTGCGTGCGTGTGTGCGTGCGGGACCTGCATCTGCGTGCAAATACTGACCAGCGCGAGCCAAGGTCATCAAACCCGAGACCCAGGCAATCCCGCTCACCTCTGACCTCGCACGCCATGGCTGGAGGGGGGGGGGGTGCCTTCGCATGGATGTTATGTCATGTGTGACAATGGGTGAAGAAAGACACGAGGAACATAGGAAGGAAATTTACAAAGTAGAAGAAAATGATGAAAGAGAGAAAAGATGAAATAACTGTAACAGTAATAAAGAGGATGATGATAAGATGATGATGATGATGATGATGATGATGAGGAGGAGGAGGATGACAATGATAATGATAATGATAACGATGGCGATGGTAATAGTGTTGAGTTTGAAAATCTATATAGCGTGGGAGACAATCTTTTGGAACAAAAAAAATCTAATAGGATTTCCGAGAGCCTCCCCCCCCTCGACACTCACCCCCCCTAAATCGACTTATATCGAGATTCAATCAACTTTTCTTATTTACTGATTTGACAACTATGACGGGTTGTTATTCATGTCTCTCCGTGTATCTATCATTACAACTTCGTTGTGATTGCAGTTATCAAATTGCCTGCATCAGCATCTATCTATCTATTTATCTATCTATCTCTCTCTCTCTCTCTCTATATATATATATATATATACACACACACACATATACATATACATATACATATACATATACATATACACATACATACATACATACATACATGCATACATACACACACACACACACACACACACACACACACACACATACACACATACATACATACACACACACACACACACACACACACACACACACACACACACACACACACACACATATATATATATATATATATATATATATATATATATATATATATATATATATATATATTAACAGTCCACAACAACTAGAAATATTTATCATATTCTTTATCACCTTTACGTAACAAATCGATACATCACCCTCTCCCTTCCCCTCCCTTCCCTCCCCCCCAAAAAAAAAGAAAAAAAGGCCAAAGGAATTCAATCTCTCGAATTAGCGCGTGTTGCAAGAAGGCGTTGCAACATCAATAAAAAAAATGTAGGTGCAGCTGATGATGACAGCGTGACACCCTCGTTCCGGACTGTGACCCCATCCGGCTGTTCCCTTCCTCTGGGGTCCCCTTTCTAGCTTTCTTCTCTTCCTTTTCGGTCTTGTGATAATGGTAATGGTAGTGATGACGAGGGTGATGATAATAATAATGGTAATGATAATGGTGATGGTAATGGTAATAATAATAATAATAATAATAATAATAACAATGATGATGACGATGATAATAATGGTAATAGTAATAATAATAATAATGATGATGATGATGATGATGATGATGATGATGATTGATGATGACTGATGATTGATGATAATGATGATGATGATGATGATTGATGATGATGATGATGATAATGTGTACGTGCGCGCGTACGTGTGCGGGTACGTGTCTGTGTGTACCTGGATCCACGCAAGTACTCATATGTACCTGGGAATACCTGGGTACATGTGTGCGCAGTAACAGAGAGGGACGAATCCCCGCTCACGCACTCGATCGAACAGAAAAAAAAGCCAGACAGATAACATCAATAGACACACGTTCACAGACCGACCACCAGACACACGGATGAATCGATGGACAAAAACGCGATTTTTTTCTTTCTGTCTTTCTTTCTTTTTTTCTTTTTTTTTTAGTCGGGGGTTCAAACTCTTCCCAGAATACTTGGAAATTTGAACAGGACGCGTCGAATCGAAGCTTGGCGAAGGAAGAGAGAGCCGGACTCTGTCACGTGATGAGGGGTCGGGGGAAGGAGGGAGGGAGGGGGGTAAAGGGAGCTAGGGTAAGGGGGGGAGGACAGAGGGGGGAGGGAGGGACAGAGGGGGGAGG